TAGACTATGGATAATCTACTGATGAAAATCAGGGTACGCGACGTGCCGGAACGTGTTCGTGCCGTCACGCCCCACATTACTTCCCCATTAACAATACTGACAGAAATAATAGAAACTACTTCTCCACAAGAATCAAATGATAGAGTCCCTAGCGAAAACTGGATAGAAATAATGGAAAATGAAAAGTCTGTGACCCGGCCACACCTAGGAGCAAAAAGGAAACATGATAACCAGATCTACCAAAGTGCCAACCAGAAAAGTAATAGGAAATCCGCAAGATCAGATAAATTCGACATTGATATGGATAGCAATTCAGAACTGAACAGAGAAATGGATGGCACAGGATAGTCCACAATTAAAAAAGAGAAACAACTTGTTAAATAGAGCACCAAATCCAAAGCATTATCCCCAATTAATTGGGAAAAAAGATACGAAAGGAAAAGATTCAAACTAAAAATACCTGCAGACAAAGTCAAAGGCAAATACACAAATAACAAAATACAGATGGTTGCCAAAGTCCTCAGCAGCTCGATCAGCCTAATTTTCATCTGTGTTAAAAAATCAAAAATATCGAACATATCGTAACAATCTTTGAAGATCAACAAGCAGCAGATGACGCAATAACCATAGTATCAGAAAAATTTCATAACAATAAACTCACACGCATAGAAATGCTAAGCTCCATTCAAAGAAAAGAAAATGTGATTAGGGTATAGGATATACCCCTCAATGCAAAAACTATAAACATTCAACAAACCTTTGTCAGATACAGTATTTTCACAAGTATCATCATAAGCATGCAACAAATGTGGCAATTAGTAACCATCTATTATAAGAACAGGAATGATAAAAACAAACTAGTTGAATTTTGATTTGTATTATTCAAAGCAGACATGATAAGAGTTTTCGACGCAACATGGAATATCAATTAAATGAAATGCAGATAATTCACCTCAATCAAGCTCTACAACATACCACCTGGCACAACAGCATACGATCTTAGAGACATAATTGTAGAAACACATGCCAAGACATACTACATCCTTAGGAAAATGTCATACCAAAGGAAAAGATTTGCAATCGTAGCATACAAAAACCAGCAAAAACTTGAAAAAGCAACATAGAAGATATTTAAACTGGATAATACAGCATTAAGCTAGTAACTAATAAACATTAAACTATATACCATCTGCGATATGTATGATCATTTAGCAGCTGAATGTCCAATCAAATACCACAAAAAACAACTGAAAATATACAATAAAGAATTAGCAAAACAGTTCAGGGTGCTCTATTGCAAATATTGACCAGCCAGAACCACCCCGATCAGAAACATTATCAGAAACGAAAAGAAAGAAAGCAATGGAAAAAAGTCATATATGAAAATCACCTGCAGAAACCACAGAGTTGGACCACCAGAAGAAAATCAAAATAACACAAATGAAACATGCAACAAAGTGCAAGCAACAGTCCTTATCACATTGCAACACATCTTGAAGAAATCAAGAGAGTCAAAAAACAATTGAACAACCTAAATAAAAAAAGAGTAAAATGAATTGAATCTACTTATGAAGAAGAGACCAGAGATGAAATGACAAATGACAATCAAACCATTGTAACAACCTAGCGACACAAACAGATGTCAAGACAATCAGAGCCAGTAGTAAGTGGAACCACAGAAAAGCCAATCAAAGACCTGAGGACTGAACAAGAACAGCTATATTCTGGAATGGAGAGAATCAAAAAAGCCCTAGCTAAAGTAATTCACATGGCATGGGACCAAAACAATGATAAAACTGACAATATTATCAGAGCATACACAATAACCTTCTACTATCAATAATAGAGAACCACAATAGCACAATATAAGCAGGTCCAGTAATATCCCTAAACAAATTGCTGTACTCAAAATCCGCACATGAACAATTTATTGAAGAATTAGAAACATCAGAAATACTAAACAATATAACAATTAAAACAAACACAAACAATAAAGAACCAGTAAAGTCACCAATGCAGCTTGTGAATGACAGACCCACCAAAGTATAATATACAAACGTTCTCTCAGCTATCACACTCAGAATCACAATATCAAACGTAAGAAGAATAAATAATGACTATAAAAGAAATCTCTAATTTGCTTAATGGCATATACACAAATAGGACATTATAATCACAACAGAGACAAACAACAGATCACAAAATGAAAAACACTGAAAAAATTATGGTCCCAAAAATTGGAATCGCATAGATTCGCATGGACTCGCATATATATTGTTGGCCTTAACGGCGAGTTAGTTGCTAATTCGGACCAAGACTCGTACGACATTGGATAAGTGGGTCTATGTCACTGGCAATACCAAAGGTATGTATGGTGATAATTATCCTTATCTTTCTTTTCTCTAGGTTGGTTCCTCTTCCAATCTTTCATTGCCAAACTGCAGAGCCTGTAGATTCTTTCTAGAATGACTAGAGACAAATAAGGTAAGTTTATTAATTATCATTGTACTAGCATACACAATTGGATTTACAGCAAATAGTATTTTATTAATTCATTATTTTATCGTATCTATCGCACCTCTTTACATTATAATTAAATATTGTTAATATTTATACATGATTGCGACGTGTCTCTAAATCTATTATCGCGTTATGCAGAATTATTAAACTTCTACAAACTTTGTGCCCATTGGTTATGCATGATTGATACATAATCAATGCCCCATTCGGCACCGCGCTGGACCCCACATGTCACGTCATGCCCCCTACTACAATTTCTATGCTAACAATATAAAAACATAAGTGGATTATAACCCATCTATTAAATTTACTATAAGAGCTGGAATCGAATGGAATCAAACACAGAACATTAGGATTCTTAGGAAAAATCATACATACACAATATACTGGACCTTAGGAGAACAATTTTTAGGAGAACGTGTAGGTGTCAATCTTAAAGTACACCTCACGAAAAGAGTCATAAAAAACAAATAATATAAGATAGAGCTATATTTATAAACTTAACATTTCCATGGAGAAAGTATATTAGAATAATAGGAGTATATACTGTTGGCGGGGAAATAATGTGGGGCGCGACGGCATGAACACGTTCCGGCACGTCGCGTACCCTGATTTTCATCAGTAGAT